GTATGCAAGTTTTGACTCTATTTAGATATTTTTCTTATGTAGCTATTACAAAGTGCTTTATTAGAAGCAAGTTCACATACCAACTCACTTACCAGCCTCAACTACCTTTCTTAAAAATGTATAGCAATAAAAGATTTGTCTCAGCACATGATAAAAAGTACTGCATCAGCTAGTTACTATAAAAAACCCCCAAAAACAAACAAACAAAAAACCAAACAAAAAAAACCCCAAAAGCTACCAATACAATGAACACTTGTTTCAGAATAATCCAAATTAGGATTGGGGGGAAGAAGTCAGACTGCTCAAGTATAAGACTAAAAGAGTATTCTAGATAGGGAAAGCATTAAAAAAAAAAGTTTGCTTTTTACTGAGTCTAAATATGTTTTCAATCCCAAATTCTTTAACTTTTATGAATTTCTGGCAGAACATACATGTTGCATTCTGCTAAATAAGTGCTATAGAAAAATCCCTGTGGCACAGATTAGCTAATGACTACCCAGTCAAACAAATTTGATTATTTTTGTCCATTGAACCCCTAAGTTTTCTGGAAAAATTCCTTCCCTTGAGAGTAGAGCCTTGGGAGTTGCAGTTACCGAGACTGACCACAGGCTTAAGTTTCATCAGTTTCTTACCCTTTAAAGAAAAAGTGTAAGTCTATCTTCATAAATCAGACTGAGAATGTGTTTACACCTGAACACATTTTCAAGATGAAAACTAACATCTTGCTATGTTTAAATATGACAAAGAACTCCTTCCTTACATTTTCCTCTTCTTGGCCTTCCTTTTTGTGCTATCCTTGCTCAAATATTTTATTAGTGTCTTCTCCATTTTCCCCCTTAAAAAATATCCTCTGTTTCTCCAGTGCTTAGTGTCCTTTACCACATCCTTTCCCTCCCCACCTCTAGGAGGGGGCTGGAAATGCTGACAGAGCCATAATTACATAATGGTGACTGCAACTGATGGAAGAAACATCTCATACAAACACACACAGGAGACGTAAGGCTGTCTGATTATTAACAGAAGTAGCCAATTGAGAAAAGAAATCTTACACTGTCCTTCCTAACTACACAGCAAAGTTTGTTAATGAGAAGCTGTGATGGATGCACTCAACCCCTTAACCAAACTACCAGTGGTTTGGTACAGGCTCCAAATGAGGTGTAGGCGTGAGCTGCACCCAGACCAAGAAATCATAGAATGGTTTAGGTTGGAAGGGACCTCAAAGATGATCTACTTCCAACCCCCCTGCCATGGGCACGGACACCTCCCAGTGGACCAGGTTGTTCAAAGCCCTATCCAGCCTGGCCTTGAGCACCTCCAGGGATGGGGCATACACAACTTCTCTGGGCAACCTGTTCCAGTGCCTGACCACCCTCACAGTGAAAAATTTCTTCCTGATATCTAATCTAAATCTACCCTCTTCCAGTTTGAAGCCATTACGCCTTGCCCTATCGCTACATGCCCTTGTAGGCCATTTCCTCTCATCCTATCACTTGTTACTTGGGAGACCAACCCCCACCTCACTACCACCCCCTTTCAGGTAGTTGTAGAGAGCAATAAGGTCTCCCCTCAACTTCCTTATCTCCAGACTAAACAACCCCCAACAACAGTACAGCTACAGCAGCCTCTCTGGGCTCCTTTGTACATTAACGGCAGGCTAGCATCTACTACAAAAAAATGCAGGCAATTTAATTTTGCTAGTTTTTGGAATATCCAATGGCAAGTTGCTTAGTTTACAGCAATACGTTAAGAACAGCTCTATGCAAGTGAACATACAATCTCGGAACCCAATTTACAAGGGGTACAACAGTACCAAATGGCACTTCACAGAGGTGATTTTGGACTTCTAGAACTTGACAGCTTGGTCTCCATTCTATCCTTGGCTAGGGAATACTACCTGCACTCTTTCTGATTCTTCCCAGCGCTGCTGGTTTTAAGGGTACCTTACTGGTTCTGCCAGAGTACTGCATGCATCCAAGCTACTTCAGACTCAGCTCGGCTCTACATGCTCATATAGCAATGCTTCTGAGCTAATGAATTCTAACACAACCAGTTTCATGGACATCATGATGCCTAAACATTCAAGTTGAGCCTAAAACCCAGACTTGGTGTGAGAACTGTAGTATTATGCACAGGAGACTAGCTCTACATTATTTTAAAACATGGAGAATTGACTACTGGCAAGAAACAAAACCAGATTAGAGTAGCACGAGGTTTGTGTCATACTGCCATCTGCTGAAAAAAGCAAGCTACTTCTCTGTGAAACTTTTCCTGTTCATGATTCTTTCTCTCTGCATGTCATAACAAAATTACATGTGATTATATTTCCTCAGCTGCAAAGAAATATACAAAACCTACTCTTCTGTATAACGCTGGTAGTGTGCAGCATGTACAAATATCAAGTCACTATTCACGAGACACTATAACAAACTCACAGGCCTATTGCAGAATCCAGGTGCCTAGATACCAGCCAGGTAAAAAGTTTAAGACTGTTGTGAAGGTCTACATAATTAAAGCTGATGAGTTGTGCGTTGATGGAATGATCACATGCTTATTCCTGCTCTTTCTGTGGAGCCTGTTTACGAACCCAAATCAAGCATAAGATAAGGTAGTATAATTAAAAAGACAAACGTAAGTTAACACCGAAATGACAATCAACCACTAAGGGTCATTAAATATTCTTCAGCACATTCTTCAAAATTTAGTCATTTTGCAACAGATAAGCTGAATAAGCCATTGAACAGAAAGTTTTACTTCTTACTTACACCCTTCTCTGTTGCACGAATATCTGTATTTCCATAAAGTGTTCCAAGACCAATTACTTTGCCACCGTTCGTCCGTATATCAATTTTATGACTCTGAAAAAAAAGTGTAAGAATCTTACAGTTAGGATAACCCAAATTAGAATACACATCTTGTTTTTCAAGTTGTACCACAATAACCAACTTGGATCACAAACTTCCATTTTACTGTGAAGGTTTCTTCTCAAGTGATTGCCAAATGTGCTATTTGTTTCCAGTGGAGTCAAACTCCAAAGAAGTCACTTTTCTTTGTAACCAGAAAAACAAGGGAAGAAATAATGTTGAGGAACCCTTTATTCTCAATATAGGTGGGGTTTTTGGTTTTGATTTGTTGGTTGGTTTGGTTTTTTTTTTAAACTAGAAAACCATTCACTCAGTATATATTAAAATAAGCAGCAGGGGAAGAAAGAGGGAACTTTGTGTTTCATTTATACTCCATCCAGAAACCAAGGTATGCATATACCCACTGCTGCAGCAGATAAGAAACACGAGCTGGCAGTGAGAAATGAACTAGTAAACTGGAGCCTTCCAGTGACCTGGAACCTACAGTGTCACAGTATTCTGTAGGATAATTATATATATACACAGACACACCACAGATCTACTTATGCTTGGAGTAATACGTATAGCCATAAACTTTGATGTATGCACACCAGGGCAAACCTTAAGCCTGCAAGTAGAACCAGATCTTACAGTGCTTCGCTCTAAGCAGATTCTAATCAAATTAGGTATTTTGCATACATCTGCATTGCAATCTCAAGTTTTTCACAAAGAAACATGGTTTCAAGTAAAAAATGTTATAGCCCTTGTAACTTGCTGCTGCATACAACTGACAAGAGAAAATATACAGAAACACAAACTAATCTCAAAGACAAAAAAATCCCAGGTCTTGAGAGTAAAACCCAAACATTTGTAAGAAGTGAGAAAGAAAAAAGAAAAAAGAAATTAAAAATCAAATTTAAATAATCTAACTGTATTCATAAGCTGCAACTTTAACAAATCTGACTTTAAGAAGTCTGCGGATCTCAATAGCAAAGCTCTTTTGCTTAAATTCACTAGCGTGAACATTGGAATAACACAGAATTAAAAAATATATTCAGCATTTTTTATACTTCAGGCCAGGTAAGCTTCCGCACAGCCCCTCCCTTAATTTTCCCATAGCACCACCTCCATTTTCAGATATATATATTTCTGTTGAAAAGGTTATTATTCCTGTAGATGGTATTTAATTTAGGATGCATCCATTAAATTTGACAATCAAGCATATCAGAAATATTATTTAGATTCCTAAACACATGTCTGGATAAGCCATAATAAATTGCATTAACTACATCTAATCAGATAGCAACAAGATTAAGAACATTTTTTTATATATATATATAAAAAAATAAATATATGAAATCAAGTTTCCAATATGGAAGACATGGACTTAAACTGTTCTGACACATTTCTGATGAAACAACAAGAACCAGAAGTTTCATGGGGTTTCAAAAGACAGGAAGAACTCTAGAGCAGTGTTTCTTAATCTTTGTGTTCCCAAGTCTTGCTTTCTCATCTTCATTTAAGAGGCTTCCCCATAGTAAAACACAACGCCCCTAACTTGAGACTACTGTACTGCTTCAGATCTTTTAAAAATTGTAAATAACTCAGCTGTTCAGTTAAGCTTCTATAAAAATACAATAGATGATTCTCTCCATGTACAATAAACAGGACAAAGTTAAATTAGATGCATCAGCCAGATATCACAGTTCCTTTGAGGAAGCTACATTAGGCACGTTAGCAGGATAATGGTTAAAAAGCAAATCCTCCGAGCATATAACTTGAAGAAAATATGGGAACTCATAAGATTAGATGAACTAATGTATAGCAATGTCTTATCAGTATCCCAATGATGGTTAAATAAAACAAAACCACAACATACGTACATATTTCCTCTTCTTTTTCTTCTCTCTATCATTTTTGGGATAGAAAGAGCTTTAATAAGACACAGGTCCGTCAATCTTTTTCCTCTTAAAAAAAACCCCAGGCTTTCAAAGGTAGGTATCAATAGAGACACCTAACAGACAGCAGGATTTGCTGAGAGAGGAAGCAAGTTATAATAGTCAAGTAGCTTTTTCATTAAGAGGGAATATTCCACTGGCTGAAAGTAAGAAGCACTAATTTGTCATAGGGCTTCTCCTAGCAAGGGAAAAAGGTTGGAGTAAGGAAGAGGTAAGTAAGGAGGCTGTCAAGGCCATGACAGATGTTAAGAGAAAAACATAAAAATTTGTTCAGTTCAGAGAAAGGAAGGACAGCGGTACAGGGCAACAAATTAGACTCAGACATGGTGTGTGGTCAGGAAGCCTGGCAGGTCTTCCACCAATAGTGTGTGAGACACCTGGAAACTCTTATCACTGGCACAGCCAAGAGTCAGAAGTAATTGTTGATCACAGAAGAAAAATTAAAGGGTCTCCCTGGTCCCATTGTCACTGCTAAGCTGATGGACTGTAATAAGAAGCAGGAGAAAAAATTATAAAGGAAAAGCACTGCTTTCTCAATAAAGAATTTAGAAATAATTTACACTGTGAAGACATAAAAGTCATAACTGTATTTTGGAATTACTGCTACTATCAGTTGACCTAGAGATTTGGAAGGGATAGGGTGAACGTGGCTTTAGCCAATTACAAAACAACCACCACCAACAACAAAAATCAGTCTCCATAAAACAACCATTAACAAGTCTCATGGGCTGGATAATGCTTACCACACCAATAGTACTGGTCAGATCCATTAAAAACACTTATACAGAATACCCATCTTTTCTGTTCAATTACTAGCATGCATGATTAAGGAAAGTAGATGTCAAATTTCTAGGTCTTCTGTAAAGACATCATACAGTATGCCAAAAATCAGCAAGTTTTTTTGAATTACATACAAGTTATACAAACAACTTCTTGCGGTTTGTGGCAAGTTAAGAGAATTAGCAGTTGTGAAGCGGTTTGCTGGTGCTCTTGAATAATCCCCACATTACTAGGTGGTTTTTTTAATGTATATAAATTCATGGATCAACGATCTTTTGCTCTCTACTGTAAAGAAAGGGCCTCCTGCTTTGCTAGTCAATGAGGTTTGTGGAGAGCATGACAGTGAAGCAACGTTAAACAGCCTCTTAATCCGTCCAGGGGAGGGCAGTATCACTTCAGTTTGCTCAGTAAAACACATTAGCTAAAGGGGAAACGGCTCTTGTGCTGCCCTACAGAATCTAGTCTACACGATTTTCAGTAGCTTTGAAAAAACCCAAAAGGTTAATAATTCTGCTTCTCTGCTAATTCCTGAGAGTATAATTCCTGAACCTATATTAGAAAAATTGAGTTACAGATGCAGTTACTAGAACTACAGTACTTCTTAAAACAACATTATACAGATATTGCAATCGAACAATTGTTTGCTCTTGCAAACACCTACATGATCAGTAATTTTAATTTCTTTTATTTTAATTAATTAATTTTATTTAATTAATTATTTTTATTTAATGCTGCGTGGCCGCAATGCTGTGAGTGTCCCTCCTGAACCTATATTAGAAAAATTGAGTTACAGATGCAGTTACTAGAACTACAGTACTTCTTAAAACAACATTATACTAAAAACTGATTGTACAGCTAAGAGATATTGCAATCGAACAATTGTTTGCTCTTGCAAACACCTACATGATCAATAATTTTAATTGATTTTATTTTATTTAATTATTTTTATTTAATTAATTATTTTTATTTAATTAATTTTAATTAATTAAAAATCTTGATCTCGCTACTTCAGAGTCAACAAAATCAAGAGTGGTAACATATCTTCTCTAGTACTATATGTTGAAACCGTCACAGTAACCAGAACAAAGACAACCAATCACCATTCACAAAACAAAAGAATACTTTGTTTTTAACCAAAATAGTTACCCAAACAAACAAAACAAAACCTTATAATCTACCAAAGCTTTGCTTTAATAAGAGTTTCAGTTGAAATCTTCAGTTCTTCCTTGATACTTTAAGTTTCACATGCTGGCTGGGACAAGGCCACCCCTCTCATCTGAGGCTTCAGGGAGCAAAGAAGCTTCCTGTGGCCACCAAAGTAGTGGACACATTGAGGTGCATGCACAGGGGAAGGATCATCTTTTACACTTGTAGTTTTCCTGACATTTTTGTGAATCAAGCAAGGCTCAAAGTTGACAGAGGAAAAACACAACATTACGCTCCCCTAAACTATAATGAGGCTCAGAAGCCCCAAACTGGTGACTTTGCAGTCGTCTTTTCAGTTCCTTAGACAGTATTGTTTCATTGCTACTTGAAGGAAAATAGACCTGACTTTTTCATTTTTAAAATTCAACATTTTTCACATCTCAGAATGTACATGAGGAATGATGCCCACGAAATTAGTTAGTTGTCTTTCCTCAAAATCCTCTTTTTCTGTGACATCACAAAAAAATCTTGACAATTGTGACAGCATGCTGTGATTACTGTCGCTATTGCTGGCCAAAAGTACTTTATTTTCTCATATTATGTAGATTCTAATGTACTGCTGTTTGCTGTTATTATTATATAACAGAGTCACTTTTAACCAAAGCCTTAGAGAGCAGTAACACATATAGTACTGTTAACTTTTTGTTAGATTTTGTTACCTTTTTAAGAGTAATATGGTCAATTACACAGAATCTGGAAGATACGAGTTGACTGTAGTTCACTGAATATGGAGTAAACCTAGCTCTATTGTATATTAAATTTCCCCTTAAGTTGAGTTTCCCATATGTGTGCTATAAAATCATCTCTTACCATGGTAGAGAACAGAATTTAAAGGTTTGGAATTACCTTATTTGAAAAGCCCTTCTTTTGAATTTATATCAATTCCTGCAGGCACAGTCCCAATTATTCAAGTGAATTTGATTCCAAACAGCACCTAAGTCAGATAGGCTTTTATAGAAATAATCAATGTGTATGCCAGCAAACCTGATGTCTTAAGATTAAAAAAAAACCAAGGTCACTACCACGATAGATACACTATTTATCAGATACATTACAGTCAGGTATTCTGAACATTTAATGTGTAACTTCTGATTGAAAATTAACCTAACAGTTTGTCAATACCACTAATATATCAGAATTATAGAAAAAAAAAAATCATCACAGGGAAAAAAAATAAGCAGCACACTGCAAAGTCCCAACTGAGCAAGCATAACTATTAACCTACTAGACAGGAAATGCCAGTCTGTCTTTTGGGGTTTTTTTTTTTTGTTGTTGTTGGTTTTTGTTTTGTTTTTTTTCCTGTGGGGCCAGGAAGGTAGATATGAGGCTTTCTGCTGTCACTGTTTCTGCTGGGTTTGGCTATCATTAAAGGCACTTGGACTTCTGACTCCACATTATTCAGTGTTATTGACCTTGTGTCGTAATTGTGTGCAATAAATAAAGGTGAGGCACTACACACATTGTAACAAAAACATCGGAGTACTTCTCATCCCCAGAACTGATATTTAAGTTTTTATATGATATTCCACCACATAATCCCTTTTAAAACACCGATGGAGTTGGGGAGGGTTCTTTGTACCTTTATTGACTGCAAGACACTAGTCCCCTTCTCTGTTTCTATTTTGCAGTTATCACATTCCATTTTCTGAATCTTCACACAGCCAGTCCCTGATGTTTTGATATCCAAATCTAGAATTAAAAGAGTTATGTTAGCAACAGAATGAGAAAAGTCAGACCTATTTAACATACTACTTTATATAGTAAGTACTTATAGTAGGGAAAAAAAGCAGCTTCTTTGTTACTAAAGAACCTTCTTGCAAAGTTTGGCCACATACTTCCAATTGCATGGCTTGTCACTGTCAACAGTTGACACTGAAAATGTTGTAAGCCAGGGTATAGGCACCCAGCTTCAAGAGAGAACACCGAGAGGCAGCAGTGACTGTAACCCCTGGCACAGAAGCGGCAGGGTGTGGTCTTTCAGCGAAGGGTTGGTTTGTTTTTATTTAAACGCATTCCCAAACTCCACCTTATAGCTACCCTCCTCACCAATGCCATTAGCAATTCTCCTGAGGCATTTGGGGTGGGAAGGTTGGCAGGTTGTTTGAGGCCACATGTAGAGTAATAAGATTCAACAGCACAAATGCTCAGGTCTTGCTTAGACCTATGCTGCTTCAACTAGCAAGCAGCACAATGCAAAAACAGGTACGGAAGAGTTTGCATGCGTCATTCTTCCCTCCCCTTGTGGAAGGCCTGACTTGCTCCCCTGGCATGAAGAAGCATGTTTGCCTCTAGTCTGAATCACCTCACCTTATTATATAGGCTCCCACAAAGAAAAGTCACCAAGTCTTGTAGATAACTGTTATCATGGGAGTAATTTATGGGCTCATAGTGCTTCACACAGGAGCAGCAAGAGCATTTTTCTACCACTTGAGCTCACCCTTGAGTTTAAGGAACTGGGAAGAAGTTTGAGAATGTGCGGTCTGGGGATTCTGACTATGTTAATAATACATCATATTAATGACCACCATAACAACTTGCAAAAGGTAAGGGCAGGAGAGGAAAAAAATGTTTTTGTTGTTCTAAGGATAAAAGGCAGAAAGAAGAAAAAAAAATTGGACAGGAGTCAGAAGTATTTGCTGCAAGGACTAAGAGAGAGACAGTGAGCCTCTGAAGAAAAGATGATCTGGGAAAGAAACCTTCATTTAAGCACTTGTGAAAATCTTTTTCATCTCCGCTATCTGCTAAGGTGACCAGAAATATGTGAAGAAGAATCAGAGTATGTATAATAAGCTCTGCCCCGATGCGATTCCCCAGGTCAGATCCGTGACACAGCGGAGACTGAAGATCAATACCGTCATGCTGTTGCTCAGGACAGATGCTGGAACCATGACAACAGTAGCTCGCAGACCATGAAGACGAGAGACTGAGAACTCCAATTAACAATGAAGGGCAGTTTTGCCACCTGACAAACCAGTAGAATCCAAGGAGCAGAGCTAAAACACATTACATCTTTGCTGCAAGAGTGCTACCTTATTGCCACAGTAAGCTAAGAGGTTAAACTTAGTGAAGGATGCAGACCGCGTTTGCAGGTACCAAGTCCCTAAGAAAAGGGACTAGAAGAGGATTTAGTGAACTTAGTGAAGAATGCAGACCGCATTCTAGTCCCTAAGAAAAGGGACTAGAAGAGGTGGACTAGATAAGCAGGTTTTCCCGAAAGCTGTTTTATTTGCAGATATTATTTTCTTAGCCTCTTTATGGAAGACTTCCAAGAAAAAGATACTGTGACCAAGATTATAATCAAACTATATGTTTCTTAAATTTAAGTAAACTAAGATTGGCTTTAAGGCATGGAAAAGCACAAAACCTGGCAAATTGGCCTGCTAACTATCATCAGAGGCTCAAGGGCCAGCACCACAAGGTTTTATGTTGGTAAAGCCTACACAGTTTCACCAGACTAAAAATATCTGAGTGGTTATCAGAGCTATTTCAATTGATCAACGCTGACTTACAGGTTCTGAAGTTGAGACAAAACTTTTACATAAGGTTTTACTTCTCAGGGAGCAGACTGTTGAAACGCATTTCCCAGAGAGACACAAATAGAGGCACTCTCCAAACGTCTATGCTTGAAACATTATGTCCCTGCACAACACAAACCTGGAGAGTTCAAAAAGAAAGCAATATTATTTTTGAAATACAAGCTGCCTTGCTCAAAACTGCTCAATTCACCCACTGGAAAACTGCACAGTCCTTGGGAAGATCTACATCCAAGACTATTTTGTTATTTTGTTTTCTGAGAAGAGAGAGGTCTAAAAGCCAGTTTGCTCGTGCAAATCTTTGAATTCAATCAGCTTGATCGCCTTTTGTCACCCCTTTTGACAGAAGCAATAAGGGCAAGAGAGTAAAAGGCTTAAAAACAGTCAGTTTAGCCATGATACCAACGTAATAAGACTTTTATAAGGATAAGGTTAATAAAACCTTCTGATTCTGCAGGGCATATTATGGCCATCATTTGAAAGGTAGATTAGCAGTGTAATCCTAGCTGTATCAAAGATGGGTGCCAAAAGAGGACACAAGTCTAGGGATTCATGAGCATGCTGTTAAGAAACATCATGGATTCCTGGAAACATACTTCTTAGTGCCTTGATCCTCTGCAGAGTCACAGCGCTTTGCTAGCCTTGATATAGCAAAAATGAGTGGACAAGGAATGGAGCCCCCCCGTCTCACAAATAGGCTTCCTGAAGCAAGGATAAATGACTCCACAGACCAGCAGGCTAAAAGCTGGATAATATTGCTAACAAAATTTCAACACGCAAGGAGCAACAGGATACAACCTGTTTCAGTGCCAAAGCTCCAAAAATAGATAGTTTGATTCCTCCTTAGTAAAGATGAGTGCTGAATCCAACTTCAGCCACACAAACCTCGAAGAGTGCATGAAGATCTTTGAGGTGCAAAGGCCTTGTATTGAAAATAAATGTACATATGTGTAAAAAAAAAAAAAAAAAAAAAGAACTTTTGTATCAGAATGTAGGCAGGGTACCCCTGAAATATTACCCTAAGCTATAATATTTGAAATAGACTGGAAAACTACTTATTTTAAAGTGACTCAGCAGCCCTGGACTACTAGAAGTACTTCATGATCTGCTTCTCTGCTCATAAAGGAAGCTTACCAGTAAGTAAGCATGCATGTAAAATAATTCAGTCCAGGAAATACTATTTGTTGAGGGCAGACTAAAGTATTTGCTAGTCTAAGGCTGTAAGTCTGCCATACTTAGGAGTAGACACTCATGAGCTTTTTTCCAACTCATTAATATGTTAAAACTTCAGAAAAATACACTGTTGTAAACATTCATATTTGCTTTCCACTAACTTTTATGAAAAATAAAAAGCAGAAACAAGCATTCCCAGGAGCTTAGGTTCTCCCCTCATATAAGTAGGCAGAAAAATTGTCTAAGTGATGCCATAAAATTATGATTTTTGGTAATTCACAGAAACATTCAAGACCCATAGATTTGTTCAGTTTGCTTAGTTAGTTCCACAAGGATCTACAGTATTTAGCTTAAGTCCACTTAGCTTTTTGGCTAACGTGGAAGAGTTAAGTTTTCTCAAAGACAGAACTGATAATAAAAAATAAACAAATTAAAAATCCCATACTGGCTTACAAGTGGGCTGACACCAGGAGTGCTTGATTTTGTGCCAGAGGGGACAGAGCTTTGGTATTCTACTCTGTGAGGCTTGGCCACCACTTCAGCACTCATGGTTCTCCTCCTTGACTTTGGCATAGAAGCCTCTGTTCTCGTCACCAGTGTAACATGAATAAAGCACTGGAACAGGTTGCCAAAGGAGGTTGTGTAGTCTTCATTCTTGGACATTTTCAAAACCAGACTGGATAAAGCCCTGAGCAGCCTCCTCTGACCTTGGAGTTAACACTGCTTTGAGCAGGAGATCGAACTAGAAACCTTCTGACGTCCCCTCTGTGCTAGTTTTGACCTAATATAATACATTCCTACTAAAGCGAAATGCAAGATCCACATGGTAAGACAGGACAGATGACTCAAATTCTGGTTATGCGAGACCTCAGTTGGGTTTACTTCTAAGTACTCAATCAATGCACAGTAACCAGAAATCAAAGAGCTGGTTTCAGCTTTAATTAATGCATGCAGTTCGTCATGCCAAGACACTGGGTTCTCTTTATGGGCTGAGCAGACTCCGAACCTACAGCCATGTGCCTACACTGTCCCCGGAATAAATAGCTAACATATACATGTGATCTGAAGGAAAATAAGCAACCTAGGTTAAAGATAAATTCACTGGCATCTATCATCTATGATGGTTAAATATATCACAGAGGATTATCAGATTGTGTATGATATTGATAGATCATACATAGCATAAAACTAGACAGTAAGACAGAAATAGAGGATCCTTTAGTACTTGCCTTACTGGGCTGTGTATGAGTTGCCTTTGGTTTAAAATACATACTTAAGCTCACCATCTAGCATCTTCTGCACATGCTCTTCAGGGTCTAAGGAGTTTTAGCTAACCTCCTGGATAAACTCCAACCTAAATTGCGAAAGCTGTTACGAAATGTTGCAACTTCCAAAACAAAGAAAGAAGCTAGAATACTGTAAAGACATTCACATCAACTTCTAACAGCTAAGCAATGAGAGTGAGCTCAGATAAAATGGTCTAAACAGAACACAGTTAACATCCTCCTCAAACATTCAAGGAAGGCCAGAGAAAAGCCAAAGTGCTTGCAGAGCATCAAAAGTTTCTCTCTGGTTTGAGATGTGTTTTGCTTATACAATGATGTTTAATGGGTAATTCTTTCCCAAATAAAGAAAAACAACAACCCAAGCACACACTACTACTCAGAGAGCCCAAAACACAAACCAAAGCTGAAAGGACACTTTCAGTAGAGCCTCACTGGCAAGTAGGAATTCTACTTCACTGAGTAAAAAAAAAAAATTATGTTTTAGGAAATGTATCTCTGGATATGCCTGGATAACAGTATGAACAGACAATACTAACATCATGCTAATTATGGGATGACAAACAGCAACTAGTGGAAGGGGATTATAATCCACAGACTGTCCAAGGAACCTGAATTGCATGAGTTTACCACAAACCCAAGTGGAACAGCTTAGAAACCTACAAACTAATAAAACCTATTTCAGGAAGGAAGA